GAACCTACAACCTACCGCTTACAAGGCGGTTGCTCTGCCAATTGAGCTAAATCAGCCGGTTAATTAGATTAATTTTTGGCAATAATATACTTTTTTAACACTAAACTATTTACTAATGGGGGTTCTCCATAACCAGTTGTCAATCGTGAGTTCATTGTCAACCTCTTTGGTTATACTTGTGTCCTATTCCTTTGACTTCGTGAAGGAAAAATCAATAAGTTCTACCTGTTTCAGGAGGGTTTCTTTTACCATAAGTTTCGATGCCATAATAAACAACAAACTCTTTATTAATTCTTAAATTTTTTCATTCGTTAATCCTAATTTTCAAACATGGTTCATCAGTTTTGTCGAATTTGTCAGGAACTAATTCAACGTTTAAAACTTTTCTTTTAATTGCTCCTAAACAGGTTATTTGATAACCATCGCCAGAGGAAACTTGGCAAAAATGTTCTGAATTCATATAGACTATTTTAGTGCAAAATTCTATATTGTTGCCTAATTTTCAAATGATTTTAATTCTTTCTTGGATATCCTTAAACAAATGATATATATCAATTTTGGTTAAGTCAACATAAACATTTTTTAAGTGGTTGAGAGCGGGGTTATTATCCAAAATTACTTGATTTTTAGCGAAATTGCTGATTAAAAACCTTAAATGGGGATTTTCTGAATTTTCTAAATAAATAGAAAAGGGTTGAGAATCAATGCGAAAATTCCAATTATTTTTAGTCTCCTTTTCCAGCAAACTGATGATTATTTTAGCCTTTTCAGTTAGTTCTTTTTTTAATATCTCTTTGTTCTGAATTGCTTTTTCTTTATTTTCCTTGCCAGCCGTTTCTACTTAAGAAGTAATCTCTTCATTATTATTTAAAAATTCTATCTCTTGGCAGGAAAAGCCAAAATTGGTTTTTTTACATTTCAAAAAGCAAATTTTCTTTTCTCGGGAATAATTTTTCAAATATTTTTCCCCAAAAGAACAAGTAAAATTACCATCTTTGTTTTCCAAAGTAGCCTTGTAGAATTTCATGAATTGGACTTCATGATAAACCGGTTCACTAATAAGTCTAGCAATTGTCTTTCACATTATATTTTATGGTAGAGTATGCCGGGCTCGAACCAGCGACCCTCTGCTTGTAAGGCAGATGCTCTCCCAACTGAGCTAATACTCTATCTATATTTAATATTTTTAGGTTATTTAATTTGTTCTCCCCGACGCAGTTGTCTTTTCCGTTTTCTTCTTCTAATTATTAAGGTTGCCGTTATTATTAATAAAATACCCATTAAATAAAAGACAATTAGCAGGGGGGGATTTTTCGCTTTATCAGTTTGCTTTTTTTCATTATTATCAATACCTAAATCCGCTGCACTAATGGATTTTAATCCTTGGGATTTTAAATAATTTTTTAAGTCTTGTAATTCTGGGACAGAAGCCACCAGAATGGTTTTTTTTGCTCCTTTATCCTCATAAGTAATTATTCAGTTTTCTCCATCCAATTCTACTAATTTAATACCATTTTTTTGAAAATATTCCTTGACAAGATCAGGAATTTGTTGGGGGGGGGGGGGGGGGGGGGGGGGATTTTCCATCAGAATCATTATCATCTTTTTCCTCATTTTGGTCATTAGGGGTTTGGGGGTTGCCATTTTCCGCGGGCTGGTTTTGGCTACTATCGTCAGAAATGGGCGAATCTTGGTTATTAGTTGG